TTATATAGATACATATATTATACATGCAAAAAATAAAAATAAAAAAAAATTTAAAAAAGTTACTATTCTGGATCGGGCCCGGGCCCGGTTTTGGCCCGGATTTCCGGGCCGACCCCAGGCCGGGCTTGGGCCGCGGGCTTTTTGGACACCCCTATACAGTCTTTTCATACACACATACCACTTCACAGTTAAAACACATCAAGCTCATGTTTTTTCATACATATCATGTTTCTCTTACATATAAATAAGAATTGTTAGAATAAACGCACTGGTACAAGCTAAACCAAGGGGAACAACAACTCTATGAGGCCATTGGAGCTGGTCTGAGACAATTGAATTCACGGTATCATGCGAAATAAAGAAGATCACAATGAATTTTTTAGAATGACATTATTAGCATAAGACACATACCACATACTACGAACAATTGCAAAAAATTAAAAGGACTGCAATTATGTAAAGCAACATGAAATATATATTGTAATCAGTTCCTTCATGTGTACCAAAATATTAACAACTATAGTCCAAAACAAAACCCAAAATGAGTATCCTAACATGTGTGGGTTGTTCAATGATATGCTTAGCTAGTGGAGCTGGTAGGGTCTGTTGAAGGTTTTAATATCATCTTCTAGTTAGAGTTGTTAGTATTTCACCAATATTTTCGAATTCAAAGATATCATTATAACATGGATCAATTTTACGTACAAGAATCCAAAGAAAATCTACCAAACAACAGACCATTAAAACACTTTTGGGTGGCTGGACAGTTGGGGGTGGAAGTGGTTGAGATTTGGATAAATTAACAATAATTATGCAGCGCCGGAAAAATAACCATACAAGCATCCAAAAAGAGGATATATTATTTGTTGTCATAGCTAGAATTTGCTACAAGGCCACTACTATATTGCATCCAAAATAAAGTCTTGGAAGGAATGGGAGGATTAATTAACTCCAACAAAATCAAATGGAAGGTTTTACCAGTTAACTAATAAAAACAAGCGGTAAAAAGGGGGAAAGGCCATTTTCATCTTTTTCATGGGCCAATCAACCAGCAGAGAAAACATCATTGAAATGACGGAATGAAGCATATAATCTGACTAAAGATAGGCAGAGACTTCTA